TGGGGGGAGAGGAGTGGGAGCGCACGCAGCAGCGTCTGCGGAAGCTGAAGGATAGCCAGCCCGCTCCGCCCCTGGGGGACGCTGGGCCTTGGGAGGAAAGGACTGAACGGCTGGCCGGCCCGGGAGACCCAGGGCTGCGGGGCCTCCCCGCGATGAGAGACGCCGGCACGTCGGAGGGGCTGGAGCAGACGAGGGAAGAGATGGGGGCCGGCGTGCGCGTGCAATGTGCAGAGCACCCTCCCCCCCCCCCCCCCGAAACTGGTGGGTCCCTGGCCCTGGGTGCACGTCGGGCACCGCGGACGGTTGTCCTCCCGCGAGCACAGCTCCACGCGCCACGTGGCCTCGGAGGACCCCTTTTCTGTAAGCTCCTGGCGCCCCAGAGCCCAGACCCCGGAGCATCCGCGGCCAGAGCTTCGCGAGCCACGACGGTGGGAAGAAGGAGGGGTGCTGGGTGCTGGAGAAGCTCTCCCCCGTTCATCCCCCGTCCGTCCGCTTCCGCCTGCACCTGCTTCTTGCTCGCTGTGCCAGGGTGTCAGGCAGACCTAATCTCCTGGATTTAAAAAAAAAAAAAAAAAAAAAAATCCCTCGAAAAGGTTCGGCTGCCCGCGCATTCGCGAGCTTGCTCTAGGAGCTGAGTTCCGCTGGCCCGATCTTGTTGAAGAATCGGGGCCACATCGCGGCCCCAAGTCGCCGGGGATACTGAGTCCCCGACGTGGAGGGCGGGTTTCAGGGCCAGGCCAACGCGCTCTTCCCAGCTGCTCAGGGGGGGACGGGGAGAACGGGAAGCTGCCTCTGGCCCCGGCCTGGGAGGCCTGGAGGGATCTAATTAAGCGAGGTTCTTGGGTTCATGTCTGGGTCCAGAGGTTCACCCTCTGGGCCGGGGGTCCGTGCGAGCCCTTCCTGAGAGCAGCCGGCTCTTCCGGCGTTCTTTGCCTCAGTCCGCAGTCGGACACAGCCAGGTCGATAGCTGGTTAATGCGATGCGGAAGGGGCATCGCACGGGCTCCTGAGGGTTGTTGGGTGGTGCTGCGTTTTGTTTTTCATTTCCTTCTGGAAAAAAAAAAAAAAGAGAGAGAGAAAGAGAGAGAACGGAATTAAATATCGGTGTTTTCACTCGGGCACGTTCAGCGAAGCTCCCTCGCCCACCTTGGAAGCTGGCTCTTTCGCCCATTGGTCTGGTCCAGCACTGTGTGGGTAGGTCGACACAGCAAGGCTAACAGTCCTGTGCACGGGGAAGATCATGGGAAATACCACCTCGATTCTGCTATCCCCAGACCTTTCCCGAGCAGGTGAGCCCGGGCTTCCAGTGACGGGGTCAACCAGAAACGGAATCAGACTAGGAGAAAGCACTTGAAGGCCCGAGCCTCCTCACCTAAAGCCAGCCTCCAGCACCGGGCAAGCAGGGCCAGGAAGGCACTCTGAAACTGCACGGATGCAATTTAGGGAGACTCCAGATGCCGCCATCTAACTTTAGACCCGGTAGCCAGCTCGCCCAACTTCTGCTCTCCCCCACTAACTCTGAGTTAGCACCTCCTGGAGCCTAAGGCCAGGACGAAGGCCCTTGGAATGCAGCAGGAGGTGGGACGTGGGGTCAAAACTGGAGGCCAGGGCCAGGGCGGAAGATGCTTCCATTCCCTAACCGTATTCACACCACAACCCGGCCAGCCCCGGACCCTCTGGGCCCTCCACGCTGGCAGAATTCAGATTTCATTTCTAGATCAACTGGAGGCACAGGGGTGGCGTTTCTGCCGCTAAGCTGGGGCCTGTCCCTCTACCGAAGAATCGCAGCCCGGGAGCTGTCCCGCCGCCGCAGGCCCGCAGCAGGCCTAGCCCGCCTGGCGAGTGGGTCGCTGCTGCAACTTAAATCGCTTATCTGGGAGCCCCGGCGATTCCGGGAATTTCTGTGTGGCTTCCCGCCGCGCGCCCTAGTCCGTGAAGGTGGGCTCTCGGACACTCGCGTTTCAAGTTAGAGTTGAGAACTATCCTACCCTAAAACCGAGGTCTTGCTCCCCACCCCCACACGCACACATCCACACATTCTGCGGCCCTGGGGGGAATTCTCGCCAGGAGGAAACTCCGGGGCTGGGAGCGGTGAGCTGGAGAAGGGACGGGGAGCTGAACGGTCGCAAGCGTCCGGAAACGGCGACACAGAAACTTCTGGAAGTGCTCCCGGAAAGTTCCCGGAGCCTCGGCGGTGAGGCTCTCCGCTCCTCCCCCACCCCACAGCCAGGAGCGCCGCCAACTCGTTGCTCGGTCCCAAAGACCACCTGGGCGCCACTCTGACAGTTTCCAGGGAGGGTTCTCCCCAAGTTACCCGGGAGGTGTGAATGCAAACCGCGGGCTCTCCCCCACCCCGCGCAGACTAGGTCCTTGAGAGCTTGGAGGGCAGCACTCCCTTCGCCCCAGCTGCCCGCTCACGGCTGCAGCGTAGGCTACTGAGAGCGTCCCAGGGACCAGAACCCACAACTCCAGGGAGCCACCTCGCTAAAAAGCCCCCGAGCCTCCCTCGGTCTGGGGTCCCGTCCCAACCCGGAACTAGAGCTGCGGGGGTGGGGGGCTGAGAACGGGGGGGGCTGGGGGACCGGAGGGGCTAGGTGACCCCGCACTAACCCGCCACTCGTGCTCTCGCCACTCCCCTCCCCGCGCTGGCAGGAGGGGGCGGGAAGAGACCGCCCCGTCCCGCCCCGCCCCGCCCCGCCCGGAGGGCTCCCGGGCGATTGGCGACTCCAGGAGGAGACGCGAGGAAAAGTCGAATGAGAGGGCGCGACGTCAGGCTCGAGTTTTGGGGAAGGGCGGGGGAGGGGTGGAAGGGCGGGGACGGACACACAGACACTGACGCGGACACACACCCCCCGCACAGCGTTCTGAGCGTCTACAACTTTTAGGTCGCCTAAGCCCAGGGCGCGGAGACCCGGGAAGGGGGAAGAAAAAAAGAGAGAGAGAGAGTAAAGAGATCTAAAAGAGAGGAGCGAGACTAGAAAAAAGTGAGGTTAGGAAGAGCAACCGTGAGAAAAGGAAGGAGGGAAAAGAGGCGCAGTTTCCCAGCGTCCGGGAGCCGCGCGAGCGGAAGCCACCGGGGGTGGGGTGAGGGGGGCGCAGCGAGGGGAGGGGAGGGGAGAGGACAGGAGGGGAGTGTAAACTATAGAAGGACGCGGGAGGCCAGGCGCGACACAGCGCCGGGAGAGGAGGGCAGGGCTGGGCGCCCGGCGCGCGGCGGCTCTGCGGCCCGGAGGAGGGAGCGCGGCGCGAAGAGGAGGGGCTTGCGGCCCCGTGGACATGTCAATCAGAGCCCGGAGCCCGGGGAACCTCGGCCAATCTGTTCGGACCTGACCTGACTCCTCGCGGCCGCCGAGCGGATCGATAGGCGAACGCGGCTCGCCGAGCGGCGCGGGAGGCAGCGCGGCCCGGGCTCGGCCCAGCGCCCGATGCGCTCCGGAGCCCGCGGCCGGCTCTGAGCGCGGCGGCGGCGGCGGCCCCGGGGGCCCGGCCCCTTCTCTCCAGGTGCCCCCGCGGGCCACCATGTCCTTCCCCCAGCTCGGATACCAGTACATCCGCCCGCTCTATCCACCCGAGCGCCCGGGAGCCGCGGGAGGAGGAGGCGGCGGCGGCGGCGCGGGGACCCGGAGCGGTCCGGGCTCCGGAGCCTCGGACCTGGCCGCCCCGGGGTCCCTCTCCAACGTGCTCTCGTCCGTGTACGGGGCGCCCTACGCCGCGGCTGCCGCCGCCGCCGCCGCCGCCCAGGGTTACGGCGCCTTTCTGCCCTACGCCACGGAGCTGCCCATCTTCCCGCAGCTGGTAAGAGCCGGAGAGAGCCGGGCGGGAGGGCTTGGGGCTGGGGTGTGGGACCGGGTGGGAGGGTGCAGAGGAAAGCGGGGTCCCCTGCCGGCGGGAGGCCGAAGCCGGCGGGGCTGACTCGCGCTCCCGCGCGCCTGTCCCCTTCCCTCCCCTTGTCCGTGCAGGGCGCTCAGTATGAGCTGAAGGACAGCCCTGGGGTCCAGCACCCGGCCACGGCCGCCGCCTTCCCGCACCCGCACCCCGCCTTCTACCCCTACGGCCAGTATCAGTTCGGGGACCCGTCCCGTCCCAAGAACGCCACCCGGGAGAGCACGAGCACGCTCAAGGCCTGGCTCAACGAGCACCGCAAGAACCCGTACCCCACCAAGGGCGAGAAGATCATGCTGGCCATCATCACCAAGATGACCCTCACCCAGGTGTCCACCTGGTTCGCCAACGCGCGCCGGCGCCTCAAGAAGGAGAACAAGATGACGTGGGCGCCCCGCAGTCGCACGGACGAGGAGGGCAACGCTTATGGGAGCGAGCGGGAGGAGGAGGACGAAGAGGAAGATGAGGAAGAGGGCAAGCGGGAGCTGGAGATGGAGGAGGAGGAGCTCGTGGGCGAGGAGGAGGACACGGGGGCCGAGGGCCTGGCCGACGAGGAAGAGGAGGAAGAGGAGGAGATCGATTTGGAGAACTTAGACAGCGCGGCGGCAGCCGGGTCGGAGCTGGCCCTGGCCGGGGCGGCGCACAGGAACGGCGACTTCGGCCTAGCACCCGTTTCGGACTGCAAAACCAGCGACTCGGACGACAGCTCGGAAGGCTCGGAGGAGCGGCCGCTGTCGGTGCTGAGCCTGGCCCCGGCGCCCCCGCCCGTGCCGAGGGCCCCTCCGTCCCCACCCTCTCCGCCCTCGGGCCTGGACCCCTGCGCTCCCGCGCCGGCGCCCTCCTCCTCCGCCCTTCAGAAGCCCAAGATCTGGTCACTGGCCGAGACGGCCACCAGCCCGGACAACCCGCGCCGCTCGCCCCCGGGGGCCGGGGGCTCCCCTCCCGGGGCTGCCGTCGCACCCCCGACGCTCCAGCTCTCGCCCGCGGCCGCCGCGGCGGCTGCCGCGGCGCACAGACTCGTCTCGGCGCCGCTTGGCAAATTCCCCGCTTGGACCAATCGGCCTTTCCCCGGCCCGCCGCCCGGCCCGCGGCCGCACCCGCTGTCCATGCTGGGCTCGGCCCCACAGCACCTGCTGGGACTTCCCGGAGCCGCCGGTCACCCGGCCGCCGCCGCCGCCTTTGCTCGGCCCGCGGAGCCCGAGAGTGGAACAGGTGACCGCGGGAGCGCAGGGCACACTGGGAGGGGTCGGTGGGGCTCTGGCCTTCGCTGGAGGGCAAGGACAGGGCTTTGGGGGAACGAGCCGGGTTTTCCTCTTGGCTCCCGTGTGGGCGAGGCGGCCCTGCAGGCCTGGACCCGGCGCTCTAAAGGCCTCCTTTTTCCTCCTCTTGTTTCCTACAGATCGCTGTAGTGCCTTGGAAGTGGAGAAAAAGTTGCTTAAGACAGCTTTCCAGCCGGTGCCAAGGCGGTAAGAGACCCCGATTTGAGGGTAGCAGAGTGGGAGACCCTTCAGGAGGGATAAGGAAAACACAGCCAATGGCGGGAGCCTTTCGCCCCCGGGGAAGGGAGCAAAGTGCCTGGAAAACTATTCCTAAAAGACACACACACACACACTCCTGTTACTTCTTGTGGACCCAGAGCTGCTTTTCCCTTCTCATCCGATCACCTCAGACAGGGCCTGTGGGTACAGAGCAGGGGAAATCTGGCCCCCTCCAACAGGCCTCTGGAGCAGAACCCTCAGCCTGAGGTGTCCCAGCCCGACCTCGAATTCTGATCTCCTTGCCCAGCTTTATAGTTCATCCTCCCACAGCTGAACAGCCCAGTCACTCTCTATCGGATCCTGTACCTCAGTGGCCCCCCTGTCTCTAAATCTCACCTTCCCCTCTCTTCCAGGCCCCAGAACCACCTGGATGCCGCTCTGGTCTTATCAGCTCTCTCCTCATCTTAATTTTTCAACAATTTTTAAATCGTTGTACTAATTGTAAAAACAAATCGCTCTGTATAGTGACGAATTGCAAGCATGTCTCTGTATGGTTACCTAAAAAAGAAACTCTAAACAACAACAAAGAATGAAAGATAAAAGAAATAAAGCCAGTCCCCCTCGGCCCTCCCCCAGTCGCTTCTGTGCCACCCCACACCAGATTGTGAGGTTCGTTTGTTCTGTTGACTTCCGGGGCAGCGGGGTTGCCGCGAGAACAGGCGTGTCTGACTTTTTGTATATACAGGAAAAAAATGTACATACGTGTGAACCAAATTGTACAAGAAAGTATCTATTTTTTGGCTAAATAAATGAGCTGTTGCCACTTTTGACTATAACCGGCAGGTCTGCCAGCTAGACCGATCTGTTTGGTGGTTCTTTGGTGTCTGGGGGGCTTCTTCCTCCCCCCCCAACCCCTCCCCCTGCGGCTCTTTAAAGAACGAGCGTCGTCGGGGGACAGCAATGGCAGAAGTGGTCTGTGCTGAGGTAGCAGCCAGGCTAGGGCCTCTGCCAGAAGGGGCGATGGAAGTGGCTGGGTCCCGGAGAGAAAAGGCGAAGACCCGAGAGAAAATTCCCCACTAGGAAGCTGGGTTCTGTCCGCGCGTACACTGGAGCCACCCTGGAGCCTTGGGGCCTTCTCTGATGACTTAGCAGAAAGACTTAGGGAAGCTTCCAGGAGCTTGGGGCGTGAGGCGGGGATGCTGTCCCTCCCTGCTCCCGATCTGACCCCGCACGACCGTTTGTCAGGCCGCGTAAAGGGCTGTGCACGCTCAACTTCGAGGCCTCTCCCACCGCGCTTCCCTCTCCAACGCCTCCTTAATAGGTACAAAGGGCGTGGGGGATCTGGAGGAGAAGCCCGGATGCTCGTGCTTCCCGCTTGGTGGCGTGTGACCTCTCTGGATTTGGGAGTCCACGGCTGAGGCCAGGCTCCGTTGGCTCCCCAGGCGCTTCTGAGCATTTTGCCCGGAGTGCCAGGGAAGGGGCTGTTTTCAGAGATCCGGGTGTGGGTTCGGGGTCCAGCCCCGGCACCTTTGGAGCTGGGTTTGCGGCAGGAGTCCAGCGGGTCCGGGGCGGGGAAGGGGAACGAAGGTGGCGGGTGTGTGTGGGGTGGGGTGGGGGGGTGGACATGACGGTGGGAAACCTGGGGCTGGAGCTCCCTCTACAGGAAGAAGGGGACTGTCGGCGTCCGGCCTCCCTGACCTATCTCTACATTGCCGGCCCGGGCTTGCCCAGCTGTGACGCTCAAGAGTGGAGAGTCACGCTCAGGATAGTGAAGTCTTGGGGTTCAAAGTGGGGGCACCTTTGAGGCACCCTTGCCTGGGCCTTTAGATGTTCAGGCTAGCCAGACGGGGTGGCTCAGAGATGCAGAGCGGGGCTGGTGACCGTTCGGCGCTTTCGGGAGGTATGAAGAGCTGTGCGTACAGCCGAAGCCGGGGTCAGGCACAGCTAACGAGGTGCGCCTTCGACGGTCTGCGAGCGAGGGCCGCCGGCGTGTGCGGGTCCGCGAGTGAGGACACAGCTGCCAGAGCCACGAGCGAGCTGAGGGTGCTCAGAGAGCCACTTGTCCTCCCCACTCCTCCCCCGAACAGAGGCGGACCACTGGCAAAGACAAGGACAGCGACGGCGGCGGGGGGGGGGGGGGGGAGAGGCCTGAGATATTCGCGCGAACACCTCCTCACTCTCTTTGCTAAGGTGTTTCAGGGGTTCAAGGTCTTTCGCAGGTGAACCACTGAAGTTCCATCTTCCCAGGCCATGCGTCTGAAGGCAGTAACCCAGAACAAGGGCCAGGGTTCTGGTTAGCTCCCTGAGTGTCTGGACAAGGGCCGCACACCGTTCCTCCAGCTCATACCTCCGGGGATCTATCTGTAGCCCATACCGGCTGCCCGTTCACTTCCTGGGAAGCCAAGGGCAGAGAATTGGCTTCCTTGGGTCCCTTCTCATCAGCTTCCTGTCTCACAAGGTGGAATGAGGATGAAGGAGGGTGCCCGCCTGCGTAGGAATGCCCAGACATCTGTAGAGGCTTAGACAAACTTCCTCAGTTCCCCGAGGTGTCTGCTTCACCCCTTCCCATTTCCAGAACATTGAGATGGCTTCCTTTAGGTCGTTCAAGAGCCTCTACAACCAGCTCCGCCAAAAGAAAAAAGGAAACTTCCCAGGGGAAAAGCCTTCTTCTAGGACGAGCCTCTAGGCAGAGGGATTTCATCAGCGGGAGGAAGATGGGTGCCAGGAAGCCTTCTCGGGCAGCTGCTCAGCTTTTCTAGCTATCTCATTCCCACAGGATGGCATTTGCTGAGGCCCACCGCGTCTATCTTGGAGGAGCAGCAAATGGAGGTACCAGGGGAGTCACCCTAACCTTGGGCAGGGCTCCTTGTGGTGTTTACTTCAAACTCTGCTGATCCCAAGCTGACCTCAGTATAATAGCTTAAACCAGGCAAAACAGAATCTCCCAGTTTCTCAAAAAAAAAAAAAAAAAAGTAAAAAATTTTTAAAAAGGAAAGGGTCCCAGAAACTCCCTCCATCCCTTACAGTTCATTCCTAAAATCTAGGAGGAAAACTAGAAGCCATGATGACAGGCATAAAGAGCGAGGTATAGCTTGTCCGTTCTGCAGCTTCAATCAGAAATGAAATATGTCAACACCCGCCCCCCAACTAGGAAGTGGCTCTGCTGCCCAGTTGGTTTCTCTGAACCACAAAGTATTTGTGGGATCAACCTGGTCAGAGACACTGCTTTCCTCAGTATCTTCACAGAGCTGGGAATAGGCAGTGCCTGGGCAGGGCCAGGGGGCCCAAGGAGAAGAAAATTACCCCCCAGGGGACTGTCCACCTGCTCATTAACGTTTTCTAACCAAGCTGTCTTCTGGAGAGGATTTCAGACAGGAGGAAGGACAGTGCAATCCCAAGGTGGCAAGAAAGGGCCAGGGGAAAGTGCACAAAACTCACTTGCTCTATGCTCGGAGTGTAGACAGGACAAGTCCCTCCTACTGGGTGGTAGTCTATGGACATCCAAAGGCGTGTCAATCACCAGCCTGCACAGTTAGGTGAAAGTGGAGAGACCAAGGCCTGGGTGAAAACTGTAGGTCAGATATCTTCTGGTGTGAGTTTATTGGGAGGTTTTGCCAGGACTCACTTTGGGAACTGGTTGCTCCTATCCTTTGAGAAACATTGTCTCCTTCCTAAAATTCTTGGTTATATGTGCCCCCACTGAGCAAAAACAGGCAACTACAAGGCTATAAAAATGGTGTCTGTGTGTGATGCTAACTCTAACCTAAGTGGGACAAGCCTCATACTTCTAAGGTCTCCCTTTGAACATCCAGAAAACGCAGATTTGAGACTTAGCCAAACTTTCTTGCAAATCCATCAATGGTTAAGATTGAGCCTAAAAAGAAGAACGGGCCCAAAGTTAACCATGGGGTAAAGGGACCCCATACATCATCAGCCATCCTTTTCTGATCTGAACTGGCCACTGTCATCTGATCTACCCGTGTAGCTTCACCACATTAAAAATGTCTACCTGTTGTGTGATTGCTCCCAGGAACAACCCGAGGCCTCACAGAAGGTGAATTCACTGGACACCCTCGTGCGCGCGCGCACGCGCGCGCGCGCGCACACACACACACACTCCAAAGTAAGGAGCAGTGGGAAAAAGGTTTTAGGAATACCACTGCAATCCCCAGGTAAGCCATTTTGTCTCCTCTCCCATCCTGGGATATTTGACAATGCCTGCAGAGAAATAAAAGAATAAAAGCAGGAGGAAATAGAACTGACACCTTGGGGATCGAGGCCAGAATCATGGATGTTCTGGACACTCCTCTAAGACATGCAGGCAAAGACTACTGGGTGCTTGAATGTCACTACGATGCCCATAGTGCTGAAGCTAAGAGACAAGGAGGTGAGGTGACAAGGTGTTTGTGGTACTCACAGCAAGGATCTTCTCCCAGAAGCCACAGCTTGTTGAAGGAACTATTAAAGCAGAATGTGAAGTGGAGCACTTGTTCTTTAAAGGCTTTTCATGTTGGGAGGAAGAAATAGGAGTGAGAGATAGCCAACAGGAAACTAACTATATGAGCTTCGGGAAAAGCAATAGTAGGTCAATTCTAAATGAAGCCCCTTTTCAGCTTAGGTGGCAAAGAGGGGCGTCCATCCAAGAAGGTAATGGGTCTAAAACATTGGAGCCTTTCTCTTGAAGATACTGATACCAAGTAAGCAACTGAAGGGTCACAGACGAGAGCTCAAGTCATGTAGTTTGGGTCTAGTAATTACTGCCACTCTTCAGCCACCACTAGGTCTTCCAAGAACAAAAACACATCTACTCAGTTATGTGGTTAGTTGTGTCGTTCCCCTCCGCCTGCCTGAGAGTTGGAGGAAGAGAGAAAGAGAGAGAGAAAGAGAGAGAGCATGCACATGTATGTTTCTCATGTCAGGGAGCAGGACAAAGACAAAGGCAGGGTCAAATCTGACTTCTGGCCTGTAGCCTAGCCTGGCCTGGCCTGGCCATGAAGGCTGTGATGTCATGTCTTTTGTGCCAGTGACAGTCCTGCATTCTCTCAGTACACTAGGCCGCTAACAAGTGGGCCACAGCCCTCCAGGGCCTTTAGAGTGCAGTCATCTGGCAACTGTGCTGCCCCCAGACGCTCAGATTTATTTTGCCAAAGTTACAGGGCAATTATGGAAATGTGCCCTTTGAAGCCAGCCTGATTTCTCTTTATTTCCTTCTCCCTGACAGAGCAGAACAGAGCTTCTCCGCCTCTCTCTCTCTCTCTCTCTCTCTCTCTCCCTCCCTCCCTCCCTCCCTCCTTCCCTCCCTGTCCCTAATAATTCTTACATAGTGGGAGCTTCTAGGAGCAATGTTGGGGAAAAAAAAAAAAAAAACAAACTTCTAAGTGGCATTCAAATTGTATGGATATAAAATAGCATCAATAATATTTTTATGTTATGTTTTGTTTTTGGAGTGGGGTGCTGATGGCCATGAAAGCACAAATAAATTAGAGAGAGCAGGTGGTAGGTGCGTCTACCTGGCTGCTGGACTCCTCCCATGTCTTAAGCCTTTGTTTATAAGCAGGCAGAAGACCCATTGGGCAGACCGGCTTAGCCCCCTAAGCACCCTGTTCTGCCCCTGAAATCCTAGCTCCACTAACCAAGGCCTTTGTTTTCACCCCCTGAATCTGGGGAGGAAGACAAACCCAACTTTGCTGTTACAGAGTAGCTCCAGTTTTCGGGGCTTTGCAGTACTGCTAACAGGGTATGGGCTCTGGGGCCTCTATGTGAGGTGACCCCATATGTTTCTTTCCTCCCGTCCTGCTGTGCTCGGCATTGGGATGTTGAGTGAAAGTGTG